ATACTTATTCGTGCCATAATTTATATGAGCGCATTGACCAATAGTATATGCAAATAGTCCACAGTGCTGGCCTTTTGGTATAAGAAAAAAAATAAATCAATAAGTATATAATTATAAATAATTTCATAATTTAATCAACTAAATATTGTATTAAGTCTAATATGAAGCCAGTTATGAAATTGACTTTGTAAATTAATTTATTCTTACATTGATGATTTTTTAAAACTTTTAAATCAAAAATATTAAACTACTTAGTAAACAAAGATCAATTTCATAGGACTGGTCTAAGGTAAAAAACTTCCAACCAAAATCCGATATTGGTTATAAAAATTCTAACTCAGACAAGCTTGGCAATTTTTTTGAGAACTCTAATGTTATATATACATACCTATAATTCTGCCGTTAATAGTTTTGATATTACCAGGTTTTGTTACAAGATATTGATTCAAGAATTCGGCAAATTTTTTCTTTTTACCTATAAAACAGACACCCATACTTTCTTTTTTATTTGCAGTAACAAGATTTGCATTACTAGCTATTGACTTTACTTGTGTTTTGTATAATTTTCCAAAAGGAAAAATTGCCTTAAAATAACGATAATAATAATAATAATAATTAAATCAGAAAAACTTTTAGCAATTTAGAGAAAACAATAATATTACTTTTTTAAACTTTTCTTCAGGAACAGCTGACAAGAAATAACTTTGATCTTCAGCAATATAAACACCTTGATTTTTGAAAAAGAAATCGTGCAGGATATATTAATATATTATTAATAATGTAGATGCTAAAAAGTTTAAATACCTCTTAATAACTTTATTCTATCATAAATGTGATCTACTTGAACATAATGCCCTATAATCTAAAATTAAGTATCATCCCTAGCAATTGAATCTATAAATAGCATATATTACCTGTAGCAAACCACTTAGCATTAAACATAGGTCCCAAACATTTATCTAAAAATAAACCAAACTTGATTTCACGATTACAAATGATATCAGGATTTGGAGTGAACCCATTTTCATAATCCTCTATCATTTTTGTGAACACTTTTACCCAATATTCTTTTGTAAAGTCAACCTTTTATGGAGAAAATCAGGTCAAATAATCATAATAGTTTCACTTTGTTGTTGGTTTTTTTTTTTTTTTGATAATTACTTGCCGACAAGGAATGTCTAATTGTTTGCAAACTGCTTATACATCTCTCCAATCCTGATTACTTGTACAAATATCATTTTCATCTGTTGTATCCCAATTCCGCATATAAGCACCTTCAACAGAATAACCCTTATTATTTAAAATATTTAAATCAGAAAATTAAAACTTTTAAAATTGAAATTTTTAATGAACAAATTCTTTTCATACCTGTCTTTTTAGAAGATATGCCGAAACACTAGAGTCGACTCCCCCGGACATAGCTACTATCACTACATTTAAATGATGATGGTTCATGAAGTTAAAGCTTATTTTTT